CTACAATAACATATAAACACACCTCAGAAGCACCGGTAAATAATAGCGAAGATTAGATCGCGTGTCGCAAAAGGGCTTTGCCAGCACTCATCTAGGACCAAACACCCTCTAAAGCCCAATACCCAGTCGAAACTCGATGAACCTAAATCCGAACGCACCCCTGAGCTTTTAATGAAGCAGAGATAATTCATACCCAACCACTGCTTATCCTCCTTGGCAGACGAACTTTCTGTGGCTGTTGTGTCAGGGTTTGAGTTTGCCTTGACCGTGATTCTCGGGATCGGAGAAAGACTTGACGCGTGGTCTGATGCGACGCTCGGACAGGGCTGTCACTCGATGCCAAAAGGAGCCGACCATTGACCAAAGACAAGCCACAAGGAGACGCGGTGCCGACCAAGAGATGTACTTCGTGCGAGTGTACTTCGTGCGAGTGTACTTCGTGCGAGTGTTCTTTGTACGAGTGTTGTATTCCTTTGCCCTGTCTCGGTGGCAGCCCCTCGCCGTCTACCTCGTCTACCGCTCTACCAGATGATCTATCTATCCCGCCGGCTCCTCCATAGGCAGCCGGCCACCCCTGGCCAAGGTGGGCATGTTTTTTCTGTTCCGGCCAAAACCAGCTTTGTTCTGTCTGGCATAAGAAATGAAGTGAAGGGGGGTATTGTGTTGTGCCGAAAAATAAAAACAAAGCCCATACCGCCAGCCCAACCGCGTGCCGACAACCCTTTACCCATGCATGCAAACCACAAAAAAATAGTGTGTCGAGAACCCTGCCACCGACTCGATGACGACCAGACAGGAAGCTCTCTGCGTCATCTTGACCCCGTCGCCGCCAAAACAGTTCGCCTGCTGATATGTGAAAAGCCCAAGGTGAAGGGACAAAAGAAAGTTGTAGTGCAACTGCGGAAGCTGCAGATGTGTGTGTGTTTATGTGTGCGTAAAAGAGAGAGGAAGGGAATAGCCAAAGAGACAACCGAAGAAAATCGAAACGCAAAAGGGGTTGCGCGCCGAGCTAAATCTCTATGCTACCCAGTCATCGACGAACAACTCCCCCCTTAAAAGGCGGTGCCCAGCGGCGCACCAAAATTTGTTGTCTTCTTGAGCTTCAAGGGAACGTCGACTTCCACGTCCTTGTCTTTCGGCGACTCGGACTCGCTGTCATGGTCAGTGACCGCGCTGGCATCGCCGGCTCCCTTGTTCTCGAGCCCAGCTTGGGCCTTCTCCTTCGGCTCCTCTGCTGTTTCGTCCAAATCGTCCTGCAGGCAGACTGGTGTTGAGTCTTGCCCTCGGCTGACATCCTCCAGCTTTTCTGACAGTCGCCTCAAGAAAATCTCATCATGCGCCGGAATGTTGCGGATCATAAGAGGGCCCTTCAATTTAATGTCTTCGACCGGTGCTTCCAGAATGGGTTCGGGGTGCTCCTCCGCCGAAGCTTCAAGCTCGAAAGCTACCGAGTCTTCAATTTCTGCGAGTCCGTTGACGTAGCGCCCCAATGTCAAGAGACAACGCTGGCGCCGGATTAGTCTGCCCGAAAGTGGGCGTAGGGCTGGTGCTTTCGCCTGCAACGGTGGCAGTTTCAGTTGCTGCGGCTGTAGGCAAATGCGATAAAGAGTGGTTTGGAGTGTGGCCAGCATGCATGACGAGTCGGTCCGTGACTGGAGCAGACAGAACCTGCAAAGTGTGGTCCTTGGACGAGGCCCGCCTGCCTAGCGGAAGACCTGACTCGCCAGGTGGTGAGGCATTACGTGAAGACGTTTTGGAGTCATCGGTCCCCGAGTCGGTGAACGTTTCCTTCTGAACAGCGGGTGCTCTGACGGAGATTCCTTCGAGTTCAGGGTGAATCGTCTGAATGTCGACGACTGGCACATCTTCGCTTGTAGGAGAAGCGAGGAAATCGACGGTAGGTGACTTCATCGGTTGCATGTTGGGGTCGAGAGGGACAAACGTCGTGACCGTGGGTTGCTTGGAGGGTGAGATGCGTGAACCGCCGGGGCTGAAGAGGAATGGTTGTGATGAGGGATAGAGAGGGTTGAAGTTCGAGAGAGCCGTGCCGGCGAGTTCAATGCCACGAGAGTGGCGTCCATCGGTTGCCGAGGCACTGGCGCTTGAGAGCGAGAGAGGGAAGTCGGTGGAACCGTCTCCACCGGGGCGGACGCCGGGGATGGCCACGCTGACAGCGGCGACCTTTCCGGCGCGTTCGAGTTCTAGCCGCTGCACCATGCCCTGAAGTTGCACAGTGTTACTTTCGAGACCTGCGACACGTTCTTGGAGCTGTTGGATCTCTTGGAGCATGGCACTCTTTTCTGCGTCCCACTCGGTTCGCTCTTCTTCCATGATGACGCGTTCCTCCTTGTACACCTCCTCTATGCGTTCGCGGTTGGCCTCCATGTATTTACGCTCAGCCTCCCAGGCCTCGCGAATGCGGCTGTTTTGCTGAGTCAGGCGGCGAATCGTCTGGGCGGCGGCAGAAGCCGATGAGGCATCGGCAGAGCTAGACCTCGGGAGCGGTTGTGATTGCGAGTACGGGATGGACAGGGCATAGGCATTGCCGCTATGCATGGAGGCGGGATGGATGTTTGGTGAGGTAACGGCCGAAAGGGTCTTCCTGTCCAACCTCGCACGGCTGACGGGCGGCGACAAGCTGCTGTGACGGCGCTGAACAGACGCGTGTTCGAGGCCGGGGACAGACTGAACGGGTTGGGCCTGCGGCGAGAGGAAGCTCTGTAGGTTGGGTGTGTGACGGACGGCACCTGAGGAGAGAGGAGAGTAGCCGATGGAACTGGACGTGTTGGTAATCTTGGTGTCGAAATAGCCCGTCTGGCTTGTGACGCGCGACAGAGGAAGGGACAGTGGTGAGGCGACGGAATGCGACGACAGCGACTCGCGACTGCTACTGCTCAGGTCGGTCTGGTTCGCCGGCCGAATGGCAGGTAAAGTCAGGGCATCGCTTGTATGAGCGCCCGGGGGCAGGAAGGTGTCGGGTTGCAGCCTCGCCATGTTCGACCTGGAGGACCTGGGCAGTCGCATGGACGATGAGTGAGGAAGGGGGCCGATGCACGCCATTGGGAGCCGGGGACGATCTTTGACGACGTGTCGGGGCGAAGGTGACAGTGGGTTGGGGTACGCGGTCTGCCTAGTGACTCGTAGCGGATGGGTCGGTTGGGGAAAGTGTGGTGTTCGAACTGAGACGGCCGAATGGCGGCAAGTGCAAGTGGACGCGTGAACGACGGTCCGGACCTGCAATGATTGTGGTGTGGTTGTTGGCTGACAAGTGGCAGCGGAGGGAGCAAAGGGAGGTGTTTCTCAGAGGTATGACGCAACCTGTCTTGTCAATGGATGCGAAGCGGAATGTTGAGAAGTCGCGATAGCGGTCATCCTCGTCAACAAGGATGAGTAAGAAGGAGGTGCTGGCCGGCAAGTCGAACTCGACGTGTTGAAACTGAGGCGGCAGATGGGTGTCGTAAGTCAATGAGCGTTTGACGTCGGGTAGAGTGTGCAGAAGAATGGAGGATGGAGGGAAAGTGGGAAGCCGAGTGAAATGGGGTCTGGAAGGTAAAGAGCCGAAGTTGTCGTGAGTCGAGCCGGGCATGGGGCCCGACCCAGTGAGGTGGAGAGAAGTGGCCAGGGTTGGGCAGGCACAAGGCACAGGGGCCCCGTCTCTCGTCCCTTCGTCGCTTCTTGTTTGGGTAGCTGGCGGGGGTCTCACGGTTGCCCTTACCGCCTGAACTGGCCTCGCATGCCTGCCACGCACCACTGCTTCTGGCTCTCCTTGGGCGCTAGCTTGTTCCGCTTACCGGACCTGGCTCGGGCGGGACTCTGTCTCGCCTTCCTCTGTTCTTCTCTCCCCCTCTGCCTTGTGACCACGCGACTGCAAGACTTTGACCACCGGTCTCACCGCGTCACTAAATGAGCGATGGTCCGCCTGTTACTGGCTAAAGCAAGGAGCGCATCTCCATCTCACCGAGTTATCCGGTGTCACTTGTCATGGCATGTTTTGTGCTTTTGCCCAGCGCACCAAAAAAGGGGTGGCACACTCGACCATCAGCTCAGGATGGGAAAGGGCCATTCATTTGACAGCAACAAAATGCAACGAACCATCCCCCAAGATGGCACGCCGTGCCCAGACATACAGAACGGCGGAAGCACCAGCCCCCGTCCCGGTTGGACCCTGGATCTGCGCCGCGTCTGGTGTGAGCCCAATCGGGACTGGCTGGGTAGTGTGAGGGGAGGGGGATAAGTAGGCACCCGTGGCAGCCGACCAAGAATCGGGTGAATTGGAGATGGGGTTTATCATTGGGGGCAGAGGGGGTAGAGAGGAGTCGCCAGGGGAGGGGAGGGGAGGAGGGGAGGGCGACGTGGATGAGAAAGCCCGGATCGTGCAAATTACGGCGAAGAGGCCCCGACTTTCTTGCAAAGCTTCCCCAAGCTGTAGCCGGAAGGGGTGCAGCTTTGTGAGCTTCTTCTTCGTCTTCGTCTTCGGAGCACCATACGTTCGTCATGAACCTAGCGACCCATGATGGACAACGTTTACAGTGCCTCCCAGATCCCGTCCCGCGATCCATGTTTCATCGGCACGCACAGGTCTGAAGTCCATCCAGCAGTCAGTACATTGAATGAATGGCCTGGCAAGCTGGATCGCTGTCTAGGACCTGCAGGGCACGGCAACCCAGACGCCACCTGACTACGGCCCGCCCTCCCCTGGATCCGTTCCCTGGGATCTTCGATACGCAGAGCCTACATATGGTTCTTGCTTCTTGACTGATTTGCCTCAGCTCGTCCTCTTGGCACAGAAGAGAGGGATGAAACTCTCCTTTCATTCACACACCATCTTTCCCCTGACACTCACTCACTGCTTGGTATTGCCGTTGATCTCCAGACCCACCGTTTCGCCCGCCAGCAAACTATCAACCGCCGCGTGTGCGCGCAGCCCGCAGATCATTGATGGCAGCCCTCAGCTCGTCTTGCCCCAATAGAGTGGGGTGGCGGCTCCTGCGCTGGCACTGCAGCTCCCGGTCCTCGTCTCATTGCTCAACTTCATTGTCCGTCTTCAGAAGCAACGAAGACCGCCTATCGCTGTCGCTGCCGTGAATGCTATGTCTGGCCGTGCACTTGCTACCATTGGGTTCTAGAAGTTGATGGACCGGGGCTCGACAGCACCGCATTTGGGAGACAGCTCTCTTGCAAACCAAACCTGACTGTTCACGCCGCCTCACCTATTGTGGAGGTCTCGGGAAGCACTCACTCCACCATCTAAAGAAGCCCCTAGTTGGCTCGCGGAGGAGGGCTTGATGCCGGTCAACCCTCAGGACGGTCATTTCAATCCACGAATAAAATAGGAACGACAAGAGTGCACAGATCCCGAGGCTCACAGCCCAGCTTGACGAATGACCATCGAGTAGATATAGAATTTTGGATCTGCGGTGGAGAACCGTCGTCAATTGACGAGGTCCATGGGGGTAAACGAGGCGTACAGCACCTGAGGTTGTGAGCCCGTTCGAGGGAGCTCTGGGGTCGTATGGTCGCCACTCTCAAGCTCCACGTCCGCAACTTGGCTCATTTCTTATTTCACCGCCGCCTCTCCACTTGCAGCCAAGGTTGGATATGAATACGGTCAACATCTCCCAGCGAGTACCTAAAAAAGATACATTGACCGCCTGCTCACCTTCCAGTTCCAGCGCTCTCCCCCAGGGCTGACTTGCGCTTACCTCGGTCTCCTTCACCGCGAGCCCCTGCCCGGCTGGCCACACTCGGCAGGTCGGGCCTGACCGCCTGCGCACTTTGATCTGGCGTCTAGGCGCGGCCAAGACGGCCTACCATCGTGACTTGCTTAAAAAGGCAGACGAAGAGAAGCAAATGGTGCAGTCCCGTTGGCCAGGGCGCTTTCGTCACGCGCACGAGCAGGTTTTCTGCTTCACGCGCTCTCGCCCGCGCTCTGTGCGAATTGCAGATAGACGCATTTGGCGAAGTATAACATCGCGTGGGGAAAATTGTGTTGACAGAAACTCTTCATAGATGAAGTACTGGCTGGAGTGCCATGTAGACAAGCAATGTCATCTCCAACCTGTCTCTGTCCACCTGCTTGCTCGTTTAGAGGATGCGTCCGTTCCCTGTGTCGGCCTTCCGGAGAGGTTCTGCAGCGGGCGCATGGTGAGGAGTAAGACATCCGGTGAGGAGTTTGGTCGGGGGCCCGATCTGAGCGCTGACTTGTGGCCCGTGATATATGCCACTTGCTGGCGTACTTACATTTGATGAAGCGCGATGAAGTTCGTGGTTCTCTGGTTTGGGTTATCCTTGGCGCACCATGGGGAAGAGCAGTGAAATGCTGAAGGTGGAAAGTCAATTGAGCTACGCAGTCAGGCGAGGTGAGGCGAGTCTTGACCATGAAATGATAGAAACGGGACGAATCTGCGTTCGCACTGGAAGGTCAGCTAAACTATGGGTAGGTTGACTGTTTTCCATCCCTTGGCTTCGCCACGAAAAACAACACTAGACTACGTCACCTTCCATATTGACTATGTATAGTACCTAGGCGGTGATAGAGGGTGGCTGTGAGTTTCAGTTCGCCTTGAGACTTTCGGTGCCACTCATGGCGACAAGACCGGCCCGATGTAGCATGCCTCAAAAGCTGAGGTCCACCTTTTGGGGGTGTCGATTCCTTGATGACCTGTTCTCATGAGAGGCCTTTGGCACCCGGATCTCATGGTGTCGGCCGATGGGCCGTTCCAGACGAAGCTTATTCTCCAGAAGGCTCCGTTGCCATCGGTGCCTCCCGAGCTGCCCCAACCCGACAAGCGAGCTGGTCCAGTGGTGGCTGGCAACAATGGGCTGACGGCTCCAAATCTACTGCCGCCATGGCCCGTAGTCCAGTTCCCGAGCACTGCGTTCTCGAAGCTGTGGACGGAGATTCTTGTGGAAGAAGTACACGGTACCAGGTGTCGTGGGCCTCCTCAATCATCTGATCATCAGAATGGGCGCGAGCTCTAGACTGTTGTAATATCGAAAAAGCAGGCCTCGCCGCCTTGCTCTATGGCCCGGGCCTCGCTGAGATGCTCCGACTTTCACGTCGCACGAGCTGAACACGCCAAGTCAGCGCAACTCTAGCTGTGTGCGCTTACCCCGGGAAGTGGGAAGATCGGGTGATTGCAGTCACACCTGAAGGCGAGGGGCGTCTCCTGCATCATCATCGCTCCTCCCCCCTACACCAATTCTCCAATATCACATTGATCGCGGGGAAATTCGGGACGTTAAACGGGATGAGGAAAGGTGGATGTTTACCATGCCGCCCATGTATTTGGGGTCCGCCATAATACGTTATGAAATGATCAAAAGCGCATGGGGTTTTGTTGAGAGCGACGGCAACAGGGCGTGGGGGAAAACGCTCGATGAAACACGAGTCAGTCGTCCAATTCGCAGAGATCACCATCGTTATGCATTTGTCCGACCCTATTTGCTTGGCAGGTCTTATTGCCTTGGAGCACAGTCAACCCCTAGATTTCGATCGCTCAGATTCCAGTCCGGCCGCTTGTTCGTTTTACGGAAATATTACTACACGACTCGAAAGGGCTGACTGTAGTAGCCTGCGGGCAGGCGGACCTAACTAGCCACCCGTGCATCAGTGTTATGCTAATGAAGGCTGTATTTTCTTCTGCTGATCTATCTGGTGCTGGTATGTACGGGATGAAGCCCGTGAATGATGACGAGATCCCGAGTCCCCGTATTTGCCTTGACAGGCTACGAGGCGGCCAGTTGCACCCACACCATGGATCGTGGGCCACGACATGACGTACCCTTCGTCTTGTCTATGGTATGTCGACCCAAATTCCCTGCGTACCTGTTTATGAGTCCTCGGTGCTTGGCAATTCCCTCGCCCGAGTCCGTGTTCGTGACAGTGTGTGTTGCGGCGCTCTCTCATGGCTGTATTGCCTTTGATAGTGAGACATTATTCGCAGGGTCAAAATGGTCAAAGCAGTGGAGTCCATGCTGACTGATCGATGCCAACAGATCATCTAGTTATGCCTTTGCAATGGATGTCAATGAGAGGCACACATCACAGAGCACATACAAGGGGGGTACTCTGACGTCTGCAGATGAGCGGGTCGGTGACGGATCACGGCAACGGTCAGGCAGCGTACCTGTCGTACGCGACGAGGGGGCTCTTTGATGATAGATGCGGATAGTCGAGTCGTGATCGATATGTAAGCCTGAATAGGTTTGTCGCATGATTAATTGGCTTGTGACCACTTGATGATTGTCTATCGGTCTGTCACGGGAGGAAAAGACTGGACGCCTTGACCAAGCCACAATCAAGCATCTGGTCAATTCAAGGGGGGAAGAGGGAAGAGATCATCTTTTGGACGGTTGGTCAGCGACGATAGGTGCCGCTTCAGCCGTGGGAATCCAATCAGGTCCAAACGGCGCGAGCGACCTAAGGTATCTGCCAGCATGGCGCATCTCGCACCACAACTCGCGCGGCTCGTCAATGCTTCTGATGCGCTTTGCTTGCCTGTCGTGATGGAAGGGGCAGACTTCCGTTGAGAAGTCAGTCCTGCCGCCCAAAGGTCCGTCATGTTGGCTGCCAAGGGATAAACAGTGTTGCCCCGATGTCGCGATGATTATATTGGTTCCTGCAGTCCGGAGACGAACCAAGCCGAATCCAGGCCGTGGTTGCATGGCATCATCTCCCCCACAATGCTCCCCACCACTCGGCGCCAGTCGCTGGAGAACCACCCCCCTCTTCCTTCGATCTGCACTGTGGTCTTGAAGCGTCCATAGGTTTTTTGCACGGATGTTTCGTGCTTGGGGTTGAGTGGTCTGCCTGGCCAGCGGCATCCAAATATAAAAGGCAAGGGGTTGTGCAGGCGCCGCTATCGATTGCTTCCGATCCATTACATGAACAGCTTATGTACCGTCCTCGATCGTGATTAAGGTTGGAGAAAAACAAGACACGCAGTGCCACGAGGCCCAGGTGGCTCATCAAAATAAGGTAATAAGAGCAAGACAACGAACTCCCCGGCTGTCGTGGGCGTTGTTTCACTGCGGTCGAGCCCAGGTCAGACATCTAGCCTGGTCTGGCAGTTTGAAGTCAATCACGTCGGGAGAGTCGAGGTTTGCCAAGACCGATTGAGACTGACCAGGTGAAGTAGGGCCGGATCAAGGTCCAAGGTAGCCGATACTTCGGAGACAACTGAGGCCTATTTGCTGCACCGGTGG